TGCCAGCAGTAATAACCATACAGGAGCCATGTCATTGGCCAGGGATTGCTGGAGTGCAACACACTTGGCAACAATCCTTATTATCCATGACATGGCTCATGAGGAAACCGGTACTGTAACAAGCAAACTCATACAGCTCATCTAATAATTCCCTTCTGGCTGCCACATTATGTAAGCTCTGCAGTGCCTAGGAAAACACATTGAGGTTGGATTGGGGAACTAAGTCTCTGATATTCACAATACGTGCTAGCTCTTCTATTGTACGTCAGTAACTTAGTTCTGTCACAAAGCATATTAGTAAATATGGCCTTTAAAGTTTTAAAAGGTAATAAAGCTGATAGTACAGATGCACATTCATTAGCCAATATCACACTGTCTTAGAAAATGTTCTTGGATAATCTTTTTTTTGTAATTAAAATGAAAACAAGCACAGGCTGAGCAAGAAAGAATTTAAAACTTCACACATACATTATTTTTATTCTCAAGTCCAATCACTGGAGGGTTAGAAAAAACTGAGTTGTGGCAAAATTTAAATAAATTTCAATACAGTCAGGGATGGAAAAGCATGAATAGTGTATCAAAAATTCCCTCGCACAATGACATCATCCACTAGATACATGACTGTTATATGTTGTGGTCCTAAAGGAGATTAAACTAATTTTCAAACAGAAAGAATCACTTTCCCCCTCTACAAGGATTTTTTTCTATCATCTGTTTTCTCTATTATCCCAGACTGAAAATCTGTCAGGTCTTGGACAAAGAGCCAAATTTACACCTAGTGTAAACCAATGAAACTCTATACTTTTCATTATACTTATGTTGTAATATTCTTTATATAAACTCTGGTTTAAAATACACTTGTGTTTATCTGTTATATATGTCATGGTTTAATTAAATACTTCTGCAACTTCATGTAATCGCAGTTGAGGGTAATCACTGTTCAACAAAATTGACTGAAGCTCTTGATTGCACCTTTATCTACACTGGCTGAATTTGAGCCTGTAATTCTCTGCCTTTGGTGACAAAAATGGAAGTGATATAATTTATATATGGAACAACTATTGCCTGCTCTACACAGTGCAGTGTGAAAATGTCAGTACTGTTGACCACAGCCCTATTTCGACTGCTCCACCAAAAGTAGAATTGTGTTGGTGGTGAATTACAAGGGCTATTTTTCCTAACCTAGGCAAGACCATGACAATCAGAAATATTGAAGTTGATATTTGATTAACACTGGCAGTACTCTGTAAGTGATTTCCACTCAACGATGTCTAATTATTTAACTATTTCCTGTTATTAATGGAATGAAACAATTCAAAACAAACAGCCAGGAGGTTGTTTTGCAGGAAGCTCGTAAACATCAATCCATAGATGTAGAAATCTTAAAATTTTATCAAGTTGGCCTGTTGAATTTGAAAGGCGTATTTTATCCCAATCAATGCATAAAGGTAAAATTATCCATAACTAAGGCATGTTTCTCTGCTGTACAGTTCAGCTGTAATGATCCCCACACACTGCACTTGCACATCAATTATGATAATCATAATCACGGTCGTTAAGCTGAATGTTCATTATTATCAGGATGCTGGTGACAGCAGATTCAATCATCGGATGCAATGGGCAGGCAGTCACAGTCCCACCCAAGTTTCTGCAGACAGCGTTGTGCCACATTAAATCTATGATGTGTTCCACATCCCACTCCATTCCAAGAGCTGTAGACGGTAAAGGTCAACTTTATGTTCTGTGCAATATGCTTAGGTTCTCTAAATTAATTCTTTGCAGTCCTGGGTATTTTTATGCTTTGTAGATAATAAAATCCTGTTTAGGGCCAAAATGCCTGTGCAAATAATGAAACAGTGATTCAGTTGTACTGTAATTCACCTATAATAAGGCATCAGAGGGAAGAATCTATCAGAATGGAACACCTTAAAATATCACTTCCTGAACTTTATAAATAAGAAAACATTAAATGCTGTCATTAAAGTCAGTTTTCTAAAATGCATATGCAAACTAATTCCAATACTGATTAAAGACTGTAAGCTACCATTTCTGCTTCAGTAAATATGAACATATGTGAGTGTTTTGACAACCGAAAGATTATAGTTAGTGTATTTCAATCCTTGACTGCCCAGCTACATTGGAACCTATCATTGTAGTTTAAATTCATAATGATTGGTAAATTTTTTATTGAAACATCTGACATAAATTCTATCAAAGGCATTTCCATGTATTTAGATATACAATGTAAAACCTAAAATATGCAACCAATTTTATTTTTTACAGTGATTTACTGAGTAAACTAACTAGATTCAGTTTCATTAGAGGTATTTCCATTTCTTGTTTATTTATAATGAAGAATTAGAATAGAACAGTTTTCCCCTTAACTCAAACTTCTTTGAAATGTAAACAGAATGAGATAAAAATTTTCAGATTATAACTAGATGAAAAAAAAGAACTATTAACTTTTCTTCACATAGATATGGTAATTATTATGTTTAGAGAAAGTCTGTGCTAATACCCTTTAATTTTCCAGAGGAAATATAACAAGGCAATATTTTTCATTGTTGTTCATTTTGCTTCTAAAGTAATTATATAATTTACATACTAATCTTTTTGTGACTTGAATTAAAATGCATACTCAAACACATGAAAACCTCAGGAAAACACAGCTAGGATGTGCTCATGAACATACACAGGGCTGTTTTATATGTAATTTTTTAAAAAGCCACCTAATATCAGCTAACACCAAATAATACCTCAGCAGCTCAGAGGGGTCACTGATCCACTACCACTGAACTGACTCTTTGGAAGAACTTACACAGTCTTAACAGCAATAATAAGGGAACCTGGTCTAGCACAAGACTGTCAGAAGCTGAATACAGATCATGGCAGGGTTATCAGCTACACAGGCTGTAACAGAAATTGCATCCACAAAATATCACCTCATGGGAAACTGAAAGGAGGGTTCCATTCAGCAAATGGAACTCTCCTTTGTGTTAAGCAAAGTGTTAAGCAAAAAATCTGTTTTTTTCTAATATTTTGTTACATGCCCTTTAGCCTTGTGATTCATTAGAACAGGATACTTTTGTTCATACCACTGATATATTCAAAGTTTTCATATAGTTTAGAAATAAAAAAGCAACAGAGTTCTATCAAATTTAACAGTTATGAAAGTATGACCTCACACCTGCCTATAGGTCTTTTTCCATTAAATTGCAGTGAGGAGGTGGAATTTTTGGTTTTCTTTTTGTTTTTTTCCCTGATAATAATGACCCATTAAAGCAGCAGGTAGGTCATAAATAGCTCTTTTCTCCTCTTATCTCTCTGTTTGGGTAAGCGGCTCCTAATGGAAGCTTCATATTGATTTAGAATTGGGGTTGGAAGGCTGTATGTCATGTTGGGTTAATGTATACAGCTATTCACCTCCAGAGATTTAGGTTGATATCTATCCAAGATCACAAGTAAAGTGAGTCTAGTTCTTTCATAATTTATATATGTGTCACATGATACACAGTATAAATATCTTTACTTTCTTTTATATCATCATCTGAGCCTGATCAAGAACTGCTAAGGACTAGAAAAGGAAGTCTTTACAGGACAAGAGGAGTACCAGCAATAAGACATTTAGGTCCTTTTTATATATCACACTTATGCTGTAGGACTTCAGCCAGTCATATCTTCCACTCATTCCTTTTGAAAGACAAATTCAGATCTTTTGTTTGAACATTGACCTCTATGTGCAATGAGGTATAATTAATGCATGTTAAAATACCAAAATTTTACTCTAAGTTCATTTTTAAAGCTTCAAATTTAGAGAAATAATTCTTTATAAAAAATATTCCTTCTGAAAATAAGATTCCTTGGAATTTGCTGGGGCTAAGCTACTCCCAGGGAAATACGTAATCATATCTTACAAAATCCCAGAATTGTAAACATTGGAAGAGATCTCTTGAGATCATCCTCCTACAGCCCCCCTAGTGAGCTAAAGCAGGTTGCCTAGGACTGTGGATATGTCGAAGAATAGAGATTCTTCAACCTCTTTGGGCAACCTGTGCCAGTGCTCTGTCATGCCCACAGAAAAATAAAAAAAAAATTTTAAGAAGTGTTTTCTTGTGTTCAGCTGGAATTTCATGTACTTCACTTCTGTCCATTGCCTCTTATCCTGTCACTGGACACTACTTAGTCTGAAAGAAGCTGGGCTCCCTCTTCTTCTTTCCCTCCTATCAGATGTTTATACATTTTAATAAGATCTCCTCTGAGCCTTCTCTTTCCAGACTGAAGAGTTCCAGCTGTCTCAGTCTCTCCTCCTACAAAAGATGCTGCAGTCCCCTTAACTATCTTGGCAGAGAGTGCAGCACCAAGCCACAAAGTCCATTATCTTTCTTGTACTTGGAAATTTTAATGTGATTATGATACCTAATGCAAATAAGCACAATGCAAAACACTACACAAAGTCACGTTAGAACATGTTCTGAGAAAAATTACCTCTTGCAGCACTACAAAACCAGAAATATATGAGATGCTCCTGACAAAGCAAGCAACTTAATGAGATGATCCTAAGAGAAAAACAGCTATTCACTAGTTTCAAGATTTTTTTCAAAGAATGTAAGCAGTAAAATACTTTGTTGTTTTAGTCCGGCTTTTCCATCATTTCCTGAAGCTTTATCTTGATGTCCAACAGTAAACATACAATCTCTCTTAAATCATAAAAGGCAATACAAATAGAACTTAGTGAAACGTACATAACTGAAGCTGTACTTAATCAGGCACTTAAATCCTGATCTTGTAGGTAGAACAGGTGTTAAAGTTCCTCAAACTGAACTTACCAGAGAGTCAAGGAAATCTGACATCTCATCACATCAGCTCTATGTGATTTTATAACATGTTAGAAAGAATCCCATCGGATTCTGTGATCTCTGGATCAGACTCAAATTCACCTAGTTCTAATAAAATAGCCATCTAAAAAAGTAAATAATTCTTTGATTTTTGCAGTGACTTACCTTGTCCGCTATCCACTTATTAGGATATACTTCTCTGAAATGTTTGGTTCCATAAGCTTCTCGGACATATTTGCCTGACTTACAAAGTGATGGCTCATACTTCTCATTCTCATTTTTATGATATGAAGAAAATGGCAGGAATCTGAAATTCAAGAATATTTTAAAAATCAGTTATGCTCTTCTCTAGATGTCACAGGATGGATGTAAATAATGGATAACAACGCTGCAAGAGGTGACGTGCAGACACGTTCCTGCTATTTTTCACTACCTTCTTAATGTTTCCCCTTGGTATTGTGAGAGGATTACTGCAATTTCTCCTGCGGTTTCTTTCAAGTTCTATTTGGAGCAAAGAGATATAGAGTTTCAATAGGATAAAATGATGACTTTCTGTACAAAGATCTAACTTGGTTCACTTGCGTTACTAGATTATTACTTTGTCTGTATCTGCACTAACAATTGGTGTGATGTGAGGAACGATCAGGGTTCAATCTGCTGGGATCTGCATCTTGATCCCTCAAACCTTAGCAGGCAGTGCAGTCTGTGCCAGCTGTCAGTGGCAAGCACTCACCACGCACAAGGATGGATATCACTTTTGGAGAACTTTGCATCCACATGGCAAGTCATATAGGCTCCCAACACACAACCCGATCATTCCCTCAGGACATAAATATTTCAAGCATGCCAGTATAAGAATAAACCAAGGCAGACTTGCACCATAAAGAATCCTCCCTGTACCTTAAACCAGGTATGCATCTTTTGACATCTGTTAACCAAAGATAAATAAACCATATTTACCAAAATCTAGCAATTCTAAATTAGAATTTAAAATTTAGCAGAATTCTCTCATTTAGCAGAACAGAAACTTTCACATTGTCTGTCAGATATTGGCAGACCACCAAGCCAAGAATTCTCAAATTGTGTACTTTACTCTTAAGTTATAATTATGTCATAATCAGCAGTCGTTCAGAGTTGGGTTCTTTCATCTTTGGTCATACTGATGATGGACTCCCTGCTTATACGGTACCAGTGAACAGTGAAGCTCCAGCTACCTGCTGGAAGTGGTTTTCAGATGGATGTCCCTAAGTGTCATGGACAACTACAAGTTTTCTGGGTAGGTTCCAGAGCAAACTGCATGAAGGAAACTGAAAAATGTCTTATATATAAAGTATCTGCAAGATCTGCAAGACACCCTCCAAAGATGTCTTAGTGACATCTATTTTAGTTTGCAAGAGTCACAAGAGCGAAAAAGTAAATTTTACTATAAAGTAAAATTGTGAATTGAGCTTATAATTGCTGGTGTTCTGAAAAAACAACATGCATTTTTTATTCTAGAAGTGCAGGAAAAAATATTATATAGTGAAATTGGAAATATATGCTTCAGAAGTTTAAAATATCACTTTAACTGCCATGACAACAGGTGTAGTTTTTCAGCTGAAAGTTTCCCCAGCCAAAAGTTTTTCAGAATCCAGAGTCCCTATAAGAGTCAGGGAGTCAACCAAGTTCTTGATAAAAATGTGGATTAAAATAACTTTCTTTGTCTCTCAGTTGATACAGATTCAGAAAATTATTTATTGTGACTAATTGATTCATCAGCAACTGTTAGAGTGTTTTCCTAAATTACATTTCTTTCTTTGTAGTTCATAAAAAGAAACTATTTAGAATTTTATCAGGTGTATCAATTTATTCTATCAAGTGCCACAAACAAATATCATGTAAAGTTAGTGAAAGGAAAACACTGAGTTAGCAGACTTTTAAATAATACAAAGCTACAGTAGCATGTGTATACCCATGGGAAATGACACCCTCACATAAGACAGATTACGGTACTTGTAATGCTAATTTGCACATGGGATGGACATCACACACACACAAAAATTAATGTGGCCCCAGTGTCCCAGAGAATACATTGAAGGTGCTGTGAGCCGGCTGCTCCACTTGCAGTTTTTATCACTTCTGAATTGCATTTTAATAGTACATTTTTCTTTTGTTCAGACATGAAAGAAAATTGGCTTTCTCAGGGGATTGGATAGCTGAGAAGACAAGGCTTGCAGTTTAGGGATTTGCCCATATATGCATAGAATTTAGTTGAGCCATAGCATTCATAATTTAATATGAAAACCATGTCTGTAAAATTTACACACAAAATGGTAAAAAAAATTTGAGGAAAGTAGAAGTAAATTATTATAGTTTTCCCTATAAAATTTTCTACATAGAGGTTTTGATTTTACTGTGGATCAGTTAATCTTTGTCTTTTTGGCAAACAAATACTCAAAGTAACGTATGTTCTACTATGATTCTGAACAAAAAAATACACAAATTTTAACACTTTGATACACAAGTAACAGTATGTTCTACATTCACTTTAGCACAAAAGCACTCTTCTGCATTCTGCTGCATATCTCCTCTAAGATCATTAACTGGAATATGTGCCACACAGCCTGGAATGTATGTCTGTGGCTGAGTAAAAAAAAAATTAAAGGAATGAAAGGAAGAACATTGAGCAATAAAAAATATTAAAATTTAAATAAAAAAAATAAAAATATAATAGGGTGTAATGGTATCAAGCAGAAGCTTTTTCTTCTGTTTATAATTCTGCTGTCAGTCAGGTGGAAAGATCCTTATAGCAATAATGCTCTAACTACAAGAAAGGATCATATGCTTGTAAATTCAATGTCTGTTTAAAGTAAGTGAGACTTTTCATTACTCTACGTGAACAATTAATTAAAAAAATTTAAACAATTTTTCGTGTTAAGCAGGGTAACCAAATTAATGGGAGTCATACAAAAGTCATTATACCCCCACAACCAATAATAATAGTAAAAAGTAATAGCACTGCAAAACATTTTAATAATGGTATTATGTTCTCTAGCTCTGTGTATAAACCTGACACAGCTTTTCCCAAAATTAATGACAGTATGTGGTCTGATTGTGACAGAAGAGAGTGATGGAAGGAGAAGAAAATTAAATCCAGACAATGTTATGATATCATTATCAACTGCACAAGTTTAGATTTCAATAGTTTTCTTTCCTACAAAAGGTTCACTCATTATTCCTTCATTTGGGTTTCAGCTTTTCCTTGTGATTTAGGTGAAAATTCAGAAATTCTTACAAATTTTCATTACACATGACAGAGACAGAAGTAACAGGATCAAAGAAGAATTAAATACCACACAGATATTTTATCATGCCATAAAACATAGCCAGTATAAGCTGAGCCCTCCCAAAAGTTGATGATTCAGTGGGAGGTGAACTTTCCCTGGAGAAATAAATTTAAAAATTAAAAATGATTTTATTTTTAAATACCATAACAGCCTGAATGAGATATGTGCCAAAGAATACATTCAAAACAGAGGGAAAGAGTTGGAACCAAAAATGAAAACTATCTCAGGTTCTACAAATTGCAGTATTACACATTCACAACCTGAGGGAGGAGGACCAGGACCAAGGCTGGCAGTGTCACTGATAATGAAGGCCAACTGCACTGTTGCCAGGACCACACTATATTGAACCTAATTAGTGTAAAAAGATCTAGAAGCCCTCACTTAGTAGCCAGTGGAGGACATGACAGCTGCTAGAGGTGTGTATTTAGATTTCAAAGACAGCCTTGATATTTGTTGTTAACAAAACCAAAAATTACTTTATCTCTCCCTTCATTAATCCTATCCTGCACCTTCCTTCTACTATTAATTTCATCTTTCTAATCCGTTTCCCCCCAAACATGTTAACATGCCCCCTTCCATGATTTCTCTTCCTGCATTCCTCACCTACCTTCCCTCTATTCTGTCTCTTTTATTGCAATCTCTCTTACTATTGTGACAGGAGATGGAAGAGGCCCATTTGACGCTGAAGGCTTTCCAGCTGGATTGACGGAGATGACAGAAGCAGCAGCAGGTACTGGTTTCCAGAGTTTACAGCAACGTGAGAGGAGAGCACAGCAGCACAAACAGGGAGGAGGATTTGTCAGGTCCATCATTTACTGCTGGGCAGCAGCGTCCCAACGCTACATGGTAACTACCAGTGGGACACAGTACAGAGGCAGTAACTTTTTCTTGAACTTAAAGGGCAGCAAAAGAACGGAGTGGCCCTTCAGCGTGTTCTCTGAACCTGCCCAAGAGGCAAGATCCCAGCAGTCTAGCAGCACAAGCATGTAATCCTGTTTCCAGAAATGCTTGAAAACATACTCAGGCTGCTGAGAAAGAACTGTCAGATCTACCGTAGATTCCCACACACCCTACACTACCAGGGCACAGTAAGAAATATAAAATCCTGAATACTGCTTATGTAGTCTTTCAAACTTTCACATTTGTTGGTACTGTACATTTTTATAATCTAGTAGTAAAAATACCACCAAAATATTAACTCTCTGTGTGACAGTGTTGTTAAATTTTTATCTAAAGTGTTTCTACACAATAGCAATTCAATTCCTTGTTGTCTTGATTTAATTCAAATCAAACAATTTCATCTCCCTTTAAAGAACTCCACGAACAATTAGCTCCACACAAACCATGTTTCTCTACTGGGAATTTGGGAATACTTTATCTTCTTCTTTTTTCCTTTAATAAAACATGAAATTAATTTTAAGCTTTCAAATTTGGATTATACCTGAAGCAATTTTTTCATCAAATCCAACATTGTCTATCTTTTCACTCAGGGTACAAAGAAAGAAGCATAATGGTTTTCCATAGCAAAACAATTGCAGCAAGTCAGCCATTATTTAGTTTATAATGAGTGCATATTAAAATCAAAGTGTTAGATACGAAAATAAAGACAGAACATTTTACTTAACATATCTAGTCACATTATCTTTAGTGCATTCTTTTTGCCATAAGAAACTTACTTGGGTGCATTATTAGAAATACTGTTTCTGGTAATATACTAAATACATACCTTTTCAATAAACTATCAATCACTTCTATCATAACATTAGTAAATCTAAGAATCCTCTGGCTATTTTTATTTAACCCCTGTCTGTGATAATGTACAGTGGAAAATAAAACCATAGTCTAGTTCTTTTAGGAAGTAAAAGAGATCTCTTCTGCAGCAAATTCTGCAACTTCTTAATTATACACAGACTTATTATCTGCATCCCCAGTGTTATAAAGTACCAGAACTTCATTAGAAAAATTAAGATGGAAAAATGAAGGCGCTACTTTGTAAATTTCCAGTGGAAATTAGCTGGAAGAAGCAGAGGAATACTGGATCAAAAGAGGGTAATCATGCTTAACTGTGCCCTAGAGCATCCGCATGTATAATACGATTTGCACAGTAACTACCTCTCCTATTACTGCTTGTTTGGAGTATTCTGTGTTAATGGGGTTAGCTAATTTAGTATTTTAACTTAAAAAGACTCTGCTGATTAATAAATGTTGCACACTGTGCTAGTAATTAAAATAAATGGAAGAGTTACAAATAGAAGTTGAATTGTTAAGAAAACATTATCTGAAAATATATGATAATCCCTGTTTATCATAATACAATAACAGTCCGGAAAATATGCAAATTGCTGAAGTTGCAAAGCATATGAAAAACTAAGTATAATTTGAAAAAAGTTTTCAGATGTGTTGTATTTGTATGACATAAAATGTAGTAGCCATTTTCACTGTAGCTCTCAGAAATACAGTAAAAGATTTTATAACTCTAGAAATTAAAAGACTTTTTAAATTCCTAAATCTTAAAGTCACTTGTTTTTTAAATTTTCTTACCATTAATACCAGGCAGCTTATAACACTGTCGCTCTCCAAGTACAGAGCTTATTTAGGTCACTGTAAATTTCCCTGTAAATACCTTTCATGCACAGCACTGAGTAGCACAGAAGCACCTAAGCTGCTTCTAAAGGAAAGCACAGTCTTGCTGAGAGCAAGCCCATGAGGAGCTTGGTGCTGCAATATTCACCCAGCATGTGAGAGGGAGGGTGTGCAAACATTGCACTCTGCTGCACACGAGTGAACCAGTGATCAGGACTAGGTTCTGTGTCTCCAGTACAGCGCTGAGCACGGACATAGCCAGAAGCTGAGATGACGTGCCTCATGTCACACCAGAAGACTACAATAAATCAGGAAACCTAAGCCTTACACTATTGCTATCACCACATAGCATCTCACTCTGATGTTTGTTGACTTCATAAAGATGTTTAACAGTATACTTTGAAGCATGAGGCATATTACATGAGACAGATTTCAGCAAAGTTAATGAAAATAATTTACATTTTTGTTCTCTGGAAAATTAGGCCAGCATGCAGCTGCACGCAACTGAGTAAAGAACTTTTCATGCTTAGTGATCTAAATCTGCTGGATCCAGCAGTTGGTGTCTCAAACTAGACACTAGTTTATTAAAGTGGCCATCCCGAAGGAGTACAATTGTCATTCCTATCCAAGCGGAGGGGGAAATCACTTCATTTGTATGAAAAATAGCACAATAAGGCAGCAGCAGCTTCAATTACACGAGAAAAAGGAATCATTCTTATTAGGCTAGATTACCCAGTTGCTCTTTCATTACAGAATAGCAAATTCCAGCAGTTGCTTTATGTAAGCACAGCATTCTCTCTTGGTTTCGTTTGTACTGCTTCTGCCTACCTCAAACTCTCACAGCTTTTTCAAATATTTCTGCATTTTATCAGAAGCAAGAAGTTTCTCAGAGCTTGCAACACTCATCCTATCACCCTATAAACAACCACTCTAAAGAACTCTGATAATCAGAGGCGTGTGGGAATTCTGAATGTTGTTGAAAATTGCAGATACACGGCAACAATCTTTCTGATAATACTCACTCTGGAAATATACATATAGAGGATTTAGTTTGTCATTTTATGCAAACACAAATTTTCTCAACAAATGCCACATACTTTCGCTGCTCATTCTCTCCTTATTTTCTAAAATAGAAGAATAATCAGCATAGGAAGCACTACCAGGAAGAAATAAAGTCCCAAAGTACACAATTACATAGAAAAAGACAGAAATTTGTCAATTCATAATAGACAGTGCTGAGAAAAAACTACTGTAGAATCTGAGTAACCCTTTGCTGACTCCTCCCTGGAGACCAACATCCCACACAGCAGCTGCAGCATTACTAGTGAGTATTAGTCCTGATGATGACCTGCAACTCTGTCATCACCTTTTCAAGGTTACAGATGTGACCCTTGCATGGTTGATTGAATATGAAGCACAAACGGAATGATCGCAGCCTGAAAATGTATAATACACTATGCATTTAGTGTGCATGAAGCTGAGAATCATTGATTGTTAGGACATTGCTTCTGCGCATTAAGGATGGCATTAAATGCTTCCTTACCCATAGGGTAAATAAAGACCGCATATCATGTAAAATCTGTCAAAGTTGGAGGCTCCAAATTTAAACTGTACAAGACCAAAGCTTCACAATTCACATATTGAAGAGACGGTGAAGTATTTATTACAAGATCTGACCTTCTGAAACTGTTGACACAGTGATGTCTGGGGTAAACCTCATCAAATAAAGACTGGGCAATATAGTCGTGCCTAAAAATGTTGGACATCATCCATCCTCCCTTGGAATGCATAAGTCAAAACTTATTCAGTGAAAAAAACCCACTTCAACTGAGAACATTAATTACTGCCTAGTGCTTGGAGTTCTTTTAAATTTCACTGGCAGAAGCTAGATATAAAAATGAAAAAAAAAAAAGCACAGATTTAAGCTGAGATGTGAAAGTTAAACTGCTTCCTCCTCACCCCAGTACATGAAAGAATACAGAGAGGAATAGAAAAAGGAAGTACACTTTTACTTGTAAGTGAACTCAGTTATGGTTTTGGTATGAAAGGAATAAAAAGTGTTATAGCTAAGTTTTGACACCAAATATTAAAAAATAACCCAAAATGCCGCAAGCAAAAAACATTGCCTGGAAGTGAAAAAGTAGCCAAATCAAGAGATTTTTTTTCTTTCAAAACTATTTTTGAGTAGAATATTCATTCAAAGACACTCTTAATATTAAATTGGGGAAAATTATGCTCCAATAAAAACGTAGAAGGTAAACCATATAAACACAATTGTTTCTGGCATTCTTAAGTCCCAGTCCTGAAGCTGACACTTAGCAATATGGAGCTGACAAAAAAGCATAAAACAGATCAAAGATAGCAAAGCATCTTGTGCCAGTGAATCAGTGGATCACAGACTGCTCATGAGGAAAAGTGGTTCCTCTCTGTCCTGAATTCTGGTATTAAAGGGTCAAGGGATTGCCAAGAGCAGTGAATTCAAGGGAAAAGTTGACAAAACGTAATTTTTTTAACTACGAAGCCAGAGAAGGTGATTTATTATGACTGGACAAAAGAGTTAAAGAAAAAAAAATTGGAAAAATGTTGGCAATAGCTTTAAGTCTTTTGGGATAGAAGCTTTAATCTTTTGGGACGGATTATGCCTGTATTTGGGATTTTATGGAAAAGAACTGGCCTGTCTGACACTATTACAGATGCTGTGGCTTAGGAAATCAAGCTGCTTCAAAGATGATTACAGTTTTTGTATCATGTTCTAACACGTGCGACATATGTTCCCTCCCCTTCCAAGTGAGCTGTGGTACTCTACTGGGAGAGAAAACAAGTCTCATTGGCATGCAACACCATTTTTTCCTCCCATAACCAGTAAGCTCCCTGAATACGAAGATTGAAACAGTATTTTTTCCTTGGCAAGGTGCATGTGGCAAAACAGAATTTGCATTTGTTTTCTTATTTCCCATTAAACACATCTGTTGCATCACATATTATTACAAGTTCTTCTACAGATTCATAGATATGGATGGCACATGTCACACAATTACAAGATAGGGTCTCTGCCCTGAGCAGTTTATAATCTAAGGACACAGAATTTAGAAGTATGTACATAGAATGTTTGCTAGTAAGCTGTCAGGTTTGACATTTCATTTTGTCAGGCATGAAAGGTTTCTGAAAGCAATGGAATAAAGAAAACATTCTCATAACAATATAAGAAAAAAACAAAGAACTTACTCATTGTCATGTATAGGATTTCTCCATTCCTCCCTTTTTATTCCCTCTCTGGCCTTCTCCAGTGGTGAACTGATTGATTCTGCCACTCGCAAGGTTGGTTCCAAAGGCTTGTAGCGCTGCCACAACACTTCAGCGGTATCGCGGAAAGGCCCCTGAAGGGTGTAGGATAATGTAAAGTGTTTTACTGTGGGGTTACAGTTCTTTTCTTTCCGTCTTTTATTCATGGCACATCACTGATGAAAGAGGACACAGAATGTCTGGGAAGTGTAGTGAGACTTTTCTTCCAAAATAATTAAAGCAGTTCATTTTGATAGAGACTTACAGATAACACAGAGGTTGATAACATACTCTGGAGCTCCAGCGAGAGAATGAGAAACGTGCACCACAAATTTATTTAGCTACTAACAAACACTTACTATTTTAAAACAATATATTGTTAGAATTGATTAGGAAAACTTAAGTTTTTCCTTAGGAAAAAAAATGAGTGAAATAAAATCTGATATACAAGTATTAACCGTATCTAGATTCTGCTTAAGCAGATAGCTTACATCTTTTTCTTTCCACAGGACAAATAATATTTGACCTTAAAAAACATGCTCTTTTCAATTTAACTATAAAGCTATCTGTAAGACAACTTAATACATTACTTAAGATATAATTCTTCTAATACAATTCAAATTAATGAATTCAGTAATACAGGTCTATAGTCCATTTTTGAAAAGTCTAATTCCACATTAATTTCATTATTCTTAAAAAAATACACATATATGTCTTTTTCCAGAGTATATTGTTTAATAACTGGTTATATCAGAATCTGGCATTTAACAACATGGATAAATAGCAGCAGGAAGTCCTCTCCTGTGCTGCTGAAGTGACATATCCTATATATCTTGCTTTAAGTATTAACCCGTAAGAACTTACTTGGAGTATAATTAGTGCCATGTTACAATCAGGACAGTTTAGTGGCAACCCTGGATTTAGAAGTATTACTAATTAATTTTTATTTTCATCATTGTTGATCTTGCAACGAACTAGTGAAACCTTCTGAAACTATGAACAGACAAAGAATTCTAATCACAGCCTTTATTCTTAAAGATATCCTTCTTTAAATAGGTTATCACTAACAAGTCACAGCTGGAGTTACTGCAAGCACTGAGTGAAGACTGTGGGGCTAATAAAAAGAAATGATTCACGCCTCATTTATGTTCACTTATGTTTTACATTAATAGAAACCAATAATAGGAACCAGTTACCATAAAAGTCATGGACCGTAAATAACACAAATGGCAAATAAGTATCATCTAGTACTTTTCACAGCTGGACAGGAGGATTGCTATATTTGAAAGTAGTTAATGGATTTTTATTGGAACTTTACTTTTTAAAGGCACAGCACCAAGATTTTGAGATCTTTTAAAAGGTCCCAGTAAGAAAATAAGCATAATATTTACACTTCTTGCAGATATCCTCTTGCTTCTGCTTTCTAAGTTTGGGTGAAAAGATACATTCATTTAAAAAGAACACAATAAGTCTTTAAAAACAGAATGAAAAGTGTTACCTCCTGTGAGAACAGTCAATACTAGAACAGGTCACTAAACCTAGTAATAGCATTTACTAGTAATACATAATCTGACGAGCAAGTTATAAAATAAGTTTAAAATTTATTATTAAAAAGGATGCTCTTTATTGCAAGATGTTTGCAGTAAGTGGATATATGGAGGAAGGAAGAAAGAAAAGTACTATTATCAAACAATATTAAGATAAATATGTTTGCTTTTAAATGTAGTCTTTCAGAATATTGCATCTTTTCTTCACTGCAAAATATTGACTCATATGCCACCAGGGTAAGGGCCAAATCAGACATCCAAGCAAGGGTTTTTCTCCATCTTTAATTTCTAAGACCTAATTAGGGGTTAGATGAAAACAAAACAAAACCATCAGTCCATAGTTCAAATGAAACTACTAATGGAAGGAGGGAGGAAAGAGTGCAACTAAGCAAAGGTCTCTCAAATAAAGCTGTGTCATCACTAATGAAAGCAGGGTATATATATTAGAATACTGACATAATTCTAAACATTCCCTGCACAATTATCCATTTCTCTGATTCATCTCTTTGAAGAAACTTACCTAGCAATAGGCACCCAAGTAATGTATCTTAAATGACAAGACCTCTAAAAAATCCATTTATCTATTTTCATTTTACAAGATTAACTTCAAGATTTGTGGAAACTGCAGTAGAATGGTGTTTCAAATTGACAATGCTTGCAAGCATTTCAGGCATCCCACTTCAAAATGGAAATTTTCCTGAGGAGGTCAGGCTAGGAAAGGAAGGGAAGGAGGCAACCAACAGTCTGCACCCTGAAAGCAACTCACACAGCTCTATTTGGAATTTGTAGTGAGTAGCATAAATCTTCTTAATAGCAATTGGTCTGCCAAATAAAGGTTAGCAGATCAGCATTCTTACTACTTTACCATAAAATCAGGAACTCATGATAAAAAATATGATCATCATGAACTTATGCATTCTTCATTGTTCTCCATTCCAGAACACCTAATAGCATGCAAAAAATCTCCTAAAAATGGTAATGTGCTTTTTGTTATTAATGCTTTTTAATGAATACATGACTAATTTTAGCATTATCAGTGTTTCCATGAAACTGTAATTCTAGTGAACTCAGTAATAAAAATGATAGATCTAACCAATGTATAAGCATCATTAAAACTTTTCTTTTAAATGCACTATCTTATACACACAGAGCTTACCTATAAAATGCTACATATCCATTTCCCTAAGAGAAAACTGGAAGATAGCTTGTTTTTTTCTTTTAAACATATACAATTGACATCCTCACAAAAAATATCCAAACATACAAGCAATAAAAATTTTAGATACCTCAAAGAAAGTAACTAGTGACTCAGAGTAAGCCAGATCGATATTAGAAAAAGAAGCTTGGTGCCAAAAAGTGTTACCACAGAGAACTAGGACACAAGTATATCTAGTAATTAAATTTCTTGTTGTCACACCAGACAACTTTCAGGATGGTATGTTCTGATGGGTTTTCGTTTCCAGCTGTTTCATCAGCTCAAACCAGTGTCCTTTTCTTAGACATACAACCCTAAATTGTCAAAGTGTTGTGCAGGGATTTAGCCGTGTGACTCCCATTAACATCAATAAGAGTCGCGCAGCTAAATCCACGCGCTGTGCTTTGAAAATTTACCCCACAGTGTACATCCCAGGGTGCTGAAAGGATTAAAGTATTATATAGTAAATTCCCTCTTTGAGGTGCAGAAAATAAACAGAACTCTTCTGGTTTGTTCTAAAAGGCTATCTGTGCAAGACTGCTGTGCATGTGTCTGAACTTAGAAAGGTCTGTAAAATATTCCAAATCCGAACAGAAACTTGTAAGATACTTTGTACACAGTAAAGCGGTTTTGTAAGAGCACCTTATCAATGGAAAACTCTCAAGTTACTTAATTATCTAAAAGCGTGATTCCTGTACCATGCCCACTAAACAAAATCTTTCCCTCTGTCCTGAGAGACAATGCATTCAGTCATGTCCTGCTCAAGGACTGTCACAGCCCCTTTGGTCCCAGAAGGTAAAGCTATAATGTCATATTTATCTCAGCTCCAAACTCCCTGATCACCCGAACTGCTTAGTGGCTCACACTTTGTCTCGATTTTGAAATGAGTCAACAAGTTCATTCTATGAAGAAACTCAAGCAGTCAAGGTAGGGAGAACATAAGGAGGGAAGGACAAAGGTGGAGAACTGCTCTGAAGTTGATTCTTACTATTACAAGCAGTGTGGATCTCTGTGCAGCTCACCTCTACTTCTCCAGAGGTATTCTCACAGGCCTGCAACTTCTTAGAATCACAGAATCATAAAAGTTGGAAAAGACCTCCAAGATCATTGAGTCCAACCTTTGACTGAACACCACCTTAGCAACTTAACCATAACACTAAGTGCCACATCCACTCATTTCTTGAGCACTTCCAGGGATGGTGACTCCATCACCTCCTTGGGCAGCCCACTCCAATGCCTGACCACCCTTTCAGTGAAAAAATTCTTCCTGATGTCCCACCTGAACCTCCCCTGGTGCTGTTTGAGGCTATGTCCTCTTGTCTTGTTGCTACTTGCCTGAGGAGCATAAAGGTTTCAAAAGTTTGTCTGCTGTGTATATTGGGCACATTCCCAGCAGGTTTTGATTATAAGGTGACAAAAGCTGTTTTGCCAACTTGTGAGACGTTCACTTTGATGCATTATCTCAGAGATGTCCATTACTTTATAGAACAGGGAAAAAAAGCTATCTGCAACACATGCTGACATCAACAGAAATTAAAATTGAGACCATGACAGTTAAGAATGCAAGCTGGGCAACTTGGCTGTGATGGAGAACAAAATGTAGAAATTTTTGTAATTAAAGCTGACACACACAGTGGACAAAAAGAGCAGGAACTATTTTGAACTGAGAGCACCTCTTTTAGTCTTCTTATGGGAAACAACTGCAAACTGAGGAAAAATTTATTACAACTGGTTAATTTGTCCTATTATCTTTCATTTCTCCTATTTTTTAATGATTTAAAATTGGAAATTATGATTTCTAACTCTAATGAATCATAAAATTGATACTCAATTATATGAGGTCGTACCTTTGAAATATCAGAAATTACACTTTTTTTTCCCCAAAGGACAAAAGCAACACCTAAGGAATCACATTTCCCTGTTTTTAAATATCACCCAGATTTCTTTAAGTCAAATCTCTGTTCAAAGACTTTTTATCCTAAATGCAAGGACTAGATATATATAACAAAAAACATCCCAAAAAACAACAAATCCACAAAAGGGATTTTTGGACCTGACGATTTAACTTGAGATAATCTATGATAAAAGATATGAACAAAAGCTGCCTCAGAGACACTGAAAAATGTTACCTGAGGTTTCTGTCTGCCAATAGGTGGCAGAGGCAGTGCTGTGACGAAAGCTGGGGGCTTCTTACAAGTTGGCCAGTCATAGAGCTCATAGGCAAAGGGACTCTTCACTTGCTTCCTTCTGTGGCTCAGTGGCTTTGAATTCCGTAGCAGCAGTTCCATTGGGTCTGGGGACTTTCTGAATGGCGAATTGTAGATGCCTGCAATCTGAGCAGAAGATGGGGTTACCTTTGACTTCAACTTATTTAGATTCTAATACACAATAGGAACAAAAATAGACAGTGGCACCTGCAGCATTTTTAAAAGCAAAACAGTCATTAGTTAAGGAGAAATAGAAGAAAATTTATGGAATACCAAAACTCAATATTCACTTTTTTCCCCAACAAAATGTCCACAATAAATTCCTATAACTCGTCAAATGTGTTTAGTTTTAATAGCATAAAACTTGTAAAACCCCAAAATTTAGCACAAGAATTTCTGAATTGTGAATTAAATTGAAAGATTCATTCTTCATCGAATTTGATATTTCATTTTTTTCAGGATACATCATTAATTGAATCACTACTGTGATCTAATATAACAATGACTAATACAAAGCACACATTTCAAATTCTGATCTAGTAATATACATAACTAACAATCTGTGAATATCTGGCAAATCAAAATTATGTGACAGACTGTTCCCAAATCATTCCTATAAATGTAGGCATTTTATCAGTTGTATATAAACAATTCCCAAACAGACATATGTGAGTTTACTGAATTAATTATGAACTGTTAAACATGAGAATTCCTATTCCATATTGCACAAAGCCACTAAATCTTCTATAAAACAGATAACATATGCTTAAAATACACCTGGCAAAAATTAATTTAAAGATATGAGTTGCTTTAAGGATAATTATATTTTCTACAACAGTATACTCAGAGTATTCTTAAGACTTTTAAAGTAGATTTTCTTAGTTAAAATATATTATCCTTTGCTTTTATCCTAATTCTAATTGCTAAGAAATATTGAATAAAAATAGAGAAATCAGTTTCACGATGCAGGAAAAGTTAAGGAAAAGAGTAAATGTTTAAAATCTTGTATTGCTCCTTTGGAATGCTACAGAGGACCCATGAGAAAACTATTTAGGGCGTTAGCCTCCTCATAAAGTATTAATCTCTTGAGGCTGAGAGGACTGAACACTTCCCAATTAGCTCTAATGCATTTTTCATTACTATATCCTACTGGGAAGTTCCAGTTTCTTGTGTCAAAACAGTTAAATACAGCATATATAAAACATAGTGTTTAATGTACTAGAATATTCAGAGATGGTAGTTTATCCATAATACTATTGGGTTATTCAAAGTTTTATGGGCTATATTCTTCAACTCTGTGAGTGATCTGCCTCTAATGACGATTTATTTTGGTCCTCTGTTGTATGTTCCCCTCTTAGTGCAAACCCTATAAACTATTATACTAATGGTCTAAATGTATAATGGGAAAGAGGACATGAATAGAGATAAGTGGTAGAAACATATATGTATGTATGCCAAGCAACCACTGGTTGTTCATTCAGCTCTTCAGGATGCCAGACGAAAATGGCAGGGATCCATGCTTCAAACAGCAGGCAAGCAGAATCACTGGAGTGAATGTGAAATCGCAGGTCCATCTGTGTGATCTGTAAGGTCCAGCTGCATCTTAATCTTTGGTTCTGCAAGTCTGGTTCTTACTCATAAACATCCCATAAAGTTACAGATCGTCCTAATGCTGTCAGTATTTTTTCAGTGTTTCATACACAATCAAATTACAATTTTCTTATCACTCCAGTACTGGGTTTTGCTTGTGAATACTTAGTGATCTGTAAGTACTACATAAATACAAGTTCCATATGTTGTCTTGACTTTATTGCACTGTCCTACAACTATTGAATGCATTTACACTATATACGTGTTACACAAGTTCTCTCAAATATAAAATGCCACAGTCAATGCAAGCTCCATACAAATAGAGTATGTATTAGATTCATACAAACTAGATTCCATGCTGAAGTTACACAAACCATCTTTATGCCATGGTCATTATATCCCTTCACTCATTAGTCCCACTATGGCCATTGGATCTGCCCACATTCTGATAATGTCACTGAAAATGTAAACATTATCCAGAAGAAAAACATCTCGTGCATAAATGAGAATCAGGGTGATCCGTAACAAACAAACCACTACGGCATGGTAATGACTATCTGGAGTTGGTAGGAGTGGACTTGTTGATCAGTAGCAAATCCTGACCAGGGCTGAATCTGTCCAAAATTTACATGCCTTTTTAAGCTGACGAGCAAATTGGGGAGGAAATCTTTTCATTTTTTTTAACCAAAAAAATACTAGATTATTTCAATCTACATAGCTCAGGTTTAATTTTTGGTTTTGTTTTTCCAAAGTGGAAAAATACATCTTAAATAATTTAAATGTTTTTCCTCTGAAGAATTACATGCAATAACTTTAAACTGATGCACTGTCTGGGCCTCAGGAAATGGTGTTGCTTCTTTTAGTCACACTGAGAGCTAGTATATGCCTTCATGAGTATAGTGGCTTTCTGAAACTGCATTTTGCAATCTATATTGAGGTACTGTGTATATTCTACTTTGTGTTCCTCTGATTAAATGTTTGGCAGTAATAAAAAGCTATAGTTCATAAAAGGTTCAAACACTGTGAAACGCTACTGAATATCTCAAGATGCAGTAATAGGATTGGCTTTTAGCACTTTTAATGAAACCAGAATTAGCTATAATAGATGTCGAAATCCATTGATTCAGTGTCTTTTGACTTCTTATTGCTGAAAAGGTGTCTTAACAAAGAGTCATCTTTTGTTGCTCTTTTTTTACTTACTCTCAGATTAAATACATACAGATAGTATATCAACTATGAAAATGAATTTGGAGTTTCGAGAGGTCAGCTGGAAACTTTCTTGCTTCTTCTACAGTTGCAACTGTAAGATATGGGTCAAAATTGATTATGAAGCACATCTTCAAACAATAATTTTTCAAGCAATCCTTGTTAATTATTTTACATTTCAATTTTATATGTTTAAGTATTCAACAAGACAGTAGAGTAATCAGCAGAATTAGTATCTAGGCAGATAAAATTAATACTAATTTACTCTAAATTCCCCAAGGTTTGTGGTAAGGGTAGGCCTAAATATAAAATTTGCAAAGTTTGGTAGGAGAGACAAGAGGAGGAGTTGGATTCTACTTTCCAGTTCATGTTAACCTCTGGAAAAATTGCTTCCACTAAAATATCTCTGCAAATCTTAATCTTAATTTTGGAATTTCTTGCACATGTGCAGTGTGGTGATGAATGTCCTATTCACTCTATCCTCTGCAGGGAGCTGGCAGTCTGCAGAAATCTAAGAATCTGGAGGATCAAAGCCTTTGGTACTTAATACATTTGCATATCTTCTTGAGACAAGTGCAATGTATGAAAAGCATTACTTAATTTTTTCCCTACTTTAATACAATATTCTCTCAACTACAAAACCATTGCACTTAATACTGCTTTTTCAATGGTAGAAAAGTATCTGTCTTGAGATATTACCTCAAACTATGATTTCAATATTTTTCCCACCTTTAGTTCATAAGAAAATATGTAACCCTCCAAAATATTATCATAGATTACAAAAAGTACCTCTTGTCTCAGGGAGAATGACATTTTTCTGTACCATGCTCTTCAACACTCAGGACTCTGTCAAAGCCAGCTTTTGGGATTTCATTTCCAGGAATAATTTTCTAAAGTGACAAACACTATGGGGAAATCTGTGCTAACTGTTAAAAAACTTACAAGTGAGTTATTTGCAATACTGTCATGCTAACTTCCACCTCAATAAGACCAAAGAAATCTCAGGAGGGGACTCTGCTAATAGCTTCTTACTGACCTCCTTGCATCAGGCCCTTCTGGTGAATGGTGGCCCAGTGGTGAATATGGCAAATGAGGTGTGAAAGCGCAGATATATTTTTTTTTTAAGACTATGTTTCTGACTCGTCAGGGAAAATAAAAAAAAAAAATAAAAAAAGAGAGAGAGAAATGAGTTATACAATAGATATATTTTCCCCTAGAATTCTCTGCCTCAGACCTTCCATCATGGAAACCCAAGCATGACCTGGAATATTAATTGTGTCAGGTCAAGCATACTGGCAAATGTACCATTTGTTACCCAGTCATCCTTAGCATTACATTAATATTTTGAATCATTTTGCATTTCTAACACTCTATCATTTAGTTTCCTCCCAATCATTTTCTTATCTTTATAATCAATGGTCACACATAAAGAAAGAAAAAAATCATAAGAAAAAAAATATTATTTTAATGAACATTAGCAAAGAAAATATTTGAGAGTTTTTTATAGTCTGTATTGCTTCCACTTCTAATCCTGTATTTACTCCATGCTACAGAATATCCACTTTTGTCTTTTCATGTTTATCATTTCAATACAGAGAGAAAGACTTAACTGTCTTTCTGTCTAAATTAATTTTATTTTCCAGAATACAAGAAAGAAATTATGGAGTTGCCTTGAAAGCTAAACTATAAAGTTAGGCAGAAGCAAAAGAAATAGAATGAAGGAAGAAAGGAAAAAAGGTGCAGGCAGAAAGGGAAAGACAAGGATGTGTTGTTTACCCTGGACAGTTTCTCAGAAAAGGTAGGTGACCCCAAATGGTATGATAAAACCTGAATAGTTTAGATTCTGCAATTTTATTTATGACTTAGTTATTTCTTATTCTTCTTTCTTACTTCTTGACTGAGCTTTCAAAGTCTACATAAAAAAATCACAAAAAAAATATGTTCTAAGACACAGCATAGCTACTATGCTGCAAATAATTACACACATGCAAATTAAAAATTGATGAAGTTGAGCTGAAGATAAATTTTAAGCATTAAGTCAATAGAAAGTGTATTCTCATACGTTTAAATATTTTACTGTAATTTAACTAAACAATAATAAAGATATGCTCTATTTTAATTACTTTTTCATATCAACTCTGAAAGAAGGAAATAACCAACATATATCACGAATCAAATGTTTCATGTAACAGTCATTTACTCTTGAAAAAAACAGCTTTGAGGTAGGAAGCCTGTGAAAGTGATTGTCACAGTAAGAACCTAAATAAAGTCCCAGTTTCTCACTCTGGTCTTTTAATGAGGAGTTAAATGAGAAGGAAAAGACTTCAACA